CGTACAGCTGTCTTGCGCCTCCATGTCATCGTGCCCTGGCTTGCGCGTCCTCGTCAAAGATTCCACACCATTCCTCCACGATATCGGTAGACCGTACTTATTTCTTGCAAGGGCTCAGACAGCCTGAGAAGGCGGATGGCGGGATATCTAGAAACAAGGATGGATGCTCAGATGATAGCTCAAGTGTTTGATGTGTTGTACCTTCTTCCCTGAAGTGGAAGGTGTGCAAGTTCGTTTCTTCTGAGTCGGTCGACACACTTATAAAACCCGAGCTCTGATATTCACCTGCAGACAGGCGACAACGACCACTTGACCACATAGCTGCAAGGTTGTTAGGTCATAAGAAACGTGTGTATATCGATGGCTAATTTCGAGTGCGACATGCATAACACCGCAATTTCCCGTTGTCCAGGTCACGAGTTCTTCAATGGCCCAAGCTAGTTGACGAGGAGAATGACCTCTATCTGTTCATACATGAACAAAATAACGAGTGTGATTAACAGTCCAGCAATAATGCTACAAATCTATTCTACAGTCCAGAAAGACTTCGCTCTTTGGATCTATAACAGCAACGCGAGTTCATATCGATACAATACAAGTGTACAGCGCGCTCAAGCAACCTGCCCGACAGTCGCAGTAAGCAGGAACGCAATGTCAGAAGAGTCGAGAGTCGCTAGAGTGACAGCGGCAGGCGCAGCTGTGATTGCGGATGAGGATTCGACACTGGCTACGCTGACAGAGCTGGAGGTTGGGGCGGTGATGGTGGGGACAGACGTGGAGCCTGAGCTTGATGCGGTACCGGAGCTGACGCCTGGAGTGGCAGAGGAGCTAGGGTGGTTCAGGAAGATAGTGGTAGGAGCGACGATTACGCTTGAAGACACAGACGCCGCGTTTGCTGCTGAGGCGACGCTAGGCGTAGCAGAGGCGCTGCCCACAAAAGTGACAGTGGTAGAAAGTAAGCTCGGAATAGCAGATGAGACAATGGCAGTAGATAGGGCTGAAACTGTAGCAACGGTCGCGCTGCCAAAGCTGCTGCTCTCAGAGACGGCAGAGACGGCGGTGGCCACTGCAGGAACCGATGCCCCTGGGATTTGTGTGGTAGATGGGGTGACAGTCACGAACAAAGTGGTGAAAAGAGTCACAGTAGCAACGCCCTCGTCTTGGGAGGGAGCAACAGCGGATGCTACGGTGGAGGTCTGGGAGATGGCTGCTGAGCTACCTTGAGCAGCGCTCGCGAGAAGCTTATAGTTTGCACGGGTGTAGCCGGCAGCAGTGGATGTGGCTACAGACTCGTTTGTCTGGTCAACCTTGAGGTCTAGAGACTCATCGTCATCAGTACAATCCGAGTCGTCGTCATCGGTTGATGATGCAGAAGGGGCCGGAGCAGAGGTGATTGAAGTCGCAACTGCAGAAGCAGCAGGAGTGACGGAGGTGGGAGAAGGTGTCGGGTCGTCGCAGTCGTCGTCACCATCGTCGGTGGCAGAAGCAGAAGGTGAGACCGCGGGTGCTGCGGAAGAGGCTGATGGTACTACGGGACTAGCTGTTGCAGCAGCGCCAGACGGGACAGCAGAGGCTGAGGCACTGGAGCTACTACCGTTACCGGTTAAGCTAGCATCAACACCAGCGGCCTGCATACGCGCGATAGCATCTGCTTGGGTGTCACAAGTCAAGCTTGTTCCAGCCTTGTTGACGAGGGGGAGTGCAACGCAAACGGTTCCACCAGCGCATTGCGACAACGCCCACGCCCCCGAGACACACTGGGCGAATGAGTTTTCTACACAGGCTTGCTGACCCTCTGTGTGGGAGTCAGATGTGCCGCAAATTTTCAGTACCATGTGAGCGTACCTGTACAAGCGTCGGTAGACTTGAGAGTAGCAAATTGAGCGTTGAGCTTTTGAGCGTCAAGCCCGTTTTGTTGCTGGAAAGAAGTGCCGGTTGGGGCTCCAAGGATGAGCGAGGCGAAGGCTACAAGGACAGTGAACGCAGGGAACGAGAGCATCGCGATGGCGTGTTGGTGTAGTGTATGAGTGAAGAGTGATGATGAAGTGAGGGCGAGAGACAAATGAGAGGGGGTCACAAGCAAGCAAGCAGTGGCAGTCGGTTTAAGATGGAGCACCTGGCTCAAGGTGATTCGCAAACAAGGCGGATACGGACTCACCTTCGACGACCCTCAGTTATATATACATCCCGCAGATGTGTCCCGTGAAGAGAGACAATGCCGTTGCATCCCTGCCACATGCCATTTGGGCCACGACTTGAGAATGCTCGGGAAACAATAGCGGGCGGTCATTGTCTATTGTTCAACTCGACGATGGTTGTTTGTTTCGCGCGAAAAGATACTGCGTCACCAGGCCAAATGCGCTGTCGGCTCCATGTTGCTGGGCAACTTGAAAGGGAGAAAGCAATTTCAGGAGGCTGAACGGGTCAGTGCTGTAGTAACTAGGTCGGCGTCGTCCGGTGTGCTTCAAGTTGGTGCTGCCAGGATCTACAAATCATGATGTATGTGGTGAACGCCCAGGGAACTCTCATCTTTCCAATCCACACATGACATGCAACGTAAGAACATGGCCAGGGTGGTGGCAAGTGCGTATCATGGACGTAAACTGGACTGAAGTACGAGAGGGCACGCTCTCCTTGCGTATGAATCTTTCTATATAAGTATAGCCACGTGACCCAAGCTACATTAACTTGATTAGGATGGCGATTTTCTCGACTTGAAAACGCCCCAGGATAAGTAGGAGAGAATTTTTACATGTTGCGCTCCGTCTCTCGTCCCCTCTCTCTTCGTACCGCCATCCCTATCCTCAGACGAGCCATGGCCACCACTCCCGACTTTGTGAGTCACTTGTAGACCTTGCCGTGACCTACAGGGGTGTACTCGAGCTGACTCGCGCTTCACAGAACAAGCCTCTTTATGCACCGCTCGCTGAGATTGACCCGGAGGTGCAGAACATCATTGATAAGGAGACATGGAGACAATTTTCCGGTCTCGAGCTTATCGCATCTGAGGTATGTGTCTACTGCTGGACTGAGAGTCAAGAGGAGAGCATCTCAATGGGACGCTCACATGTTGCTTGCTGTTAGAACTTGACAAGTCGGGCGACGATGGAGGCCAATGGCTCTATCCTCACCAACAAGTACTCGGAAGGTCTCCCTGGTGCTCGTTACTACGGCGGTAACGAGTGGGTTGACGAGCTCGAGGTGCTCTGCCAGAAACGTGCGCTGCAAGCCTTCCACCTCGACCCGTCAAAATGGGGCGTTAACGTCCAACCTTACTCCGGCAGTGTAAGTCGTCATCCGTGACAGCATATATGTTGGTCGTACTGACACAAGTTGTGTTCGTGAACAGACTGCAAAGTATGTCCATACCATTTTTGGTCGCTATACAGTTCAGAAGCTAACATGTTTGCAGCTTCGCGGCACTCACAGCGCTTATTCAACCGCAGGATCGTCTCATGGGTTTGGGTTTACCAGATGGCGGTCATTTGACACATGGTTACTACGTGCGTGTCTTTCCCGTCTTCGGCACGCCGTTCTGCGACATGTCATCACACTGTCACTTATTACTTGCATTTTCTGTTTATTGCGGTCTCCGCCGATGCTAATGCACTGTTTCTGCAGACCGCCAAAAAGAAGATGACCGCATCGTCAATCTACTTCCAATCTTTCCCTTACGCCCTTGACCCCTCTACTCACCTCATCGACTACAAGGGTCTCGCCTCACAAGCCAAGATCTTCAAGCCCCGTCTTATCATCTGCGGTGCTTCCGCGTATCCTCGTGACTGGGACTACGCTTCCCTCCGTGCTGTGGCAGATGAGCATGGAGCCTTCTTGATGGCCGATATCGCACATACCAGTGGTCTCGTCGCCGCTGGTGAGCTCGCCGACCCATTCCAATACTGTGATGTTATCACTACCACAACGTGCGTAGATTTTACCATCCTGTTTACCACACTTTCATTGACAGCATGCCACAATCAGCCACAAAACTCTCCGCGGACCTCGTGCTGGCTTGATATTTTTCCGTAAGGACAGTGACAAGGCAAAGGACCTAGAGAAGCGTGTGAACGATGCTGTCTTCCCCGCCTGCCAGGGTGGTCCCCACAACAACACAATTGCCGGTATCGCCACTGCTCTCCTCCAGGCTACCCAGCCTACCTGGAAGGCATACGCCAAGCAGGTCATCGCTAACGCGAAGACACTCGGCGAGGAGCTCGTCGCTCACGGCTACAAGCTGCAGACCAGCGGGACTGACAACCACTTAGTTCTCTGGGATCTTCGTCCATTGGGGTTGACCGGCAGCAAGCTCGAGAAGCTCTGCGACATCGTTGGTATTACGATCAATAAGAACGCTGTCTCCGGTGACGCTTCCGCTCAAGTACCCGGGGGCATCCGTCTCGGAACGGCTGCGATCACCTCCAGAGACATGCGGGAAGCAGACGTGAAGATCGTGGCAGACTTCCTTCACCGTGCAGTACAGACTTCACTTGTGCTTCAGAAGGAGGCTGGAAGCAAGCTGTTGAAGGACTTTGTTCGGGTTGCCACCACTTCGGACGAGAGTAGGGTTGGACACCTGCAGGTTCAAGAGCTTGGCAAGGAGGTCAGGGCGTTTGCGAGGAGGTGGCCGTTGCCTGGTGTTGATGTGAGTAAGCTGACGAAGCCTGCTGGCATCCACGAGGACGATTAGATGTTCTGCAGGGCGGTGCAGTGTTTGCTGGCAGTAGGGCTTTGGGGTGCTTTTTGAGGAGTAGTAAGATTCAACGTCGTATGCCCTTCGTAGTAAGGACTTTTGTATTATAGGGCAACATTCAACATAGTACGCCCGTCTTGAATATTAGAATGGGCGACGCGCCCAATACAAACTTTGGTGTAATTGCCAGGACTGTTACAACCGTTCTAGAACGTTCGGCTGCGAAGCCAGTTCAGCCAGGATCTCAAACAAATCTCTTGGATACATACATGCGCTCAGACGGAGTTCTGGTCTCTGTGTGCAGGAAAAATGCATCAGCCGGGAGTCGAACCCGGAGCTAGGCCAAGCTATCAATGCAAGCTAAATGCAGATGGGAAGACCCAATGTTACCGCTACACCACTGATGCGTGAGTGATTTGAAGTAATCTTAAACTATACACCCTGTCTTCCAAATCTCTCGGCTTGGCTGCTTCAGAGAACTTGAACGACTCTCTTCTCCCTCTTGGTCAGCTACGGAGACCAGCTCCCCAGTGAACCTTTCACGCTAGTACTTGCTTTGATCCTTATATTTGCATTGGTCATCTGAGATTGAGCTGTACTCATTGGTAAGACCAAGTTGCAGTGTGTAGCATGACCAGCACTGACTTGGTCCACCTACTATAAGCTACGCAGCTCAAGCTGAGTCTTTAACCGTCACGGTGTTTCTAGCTTAAATTTACCGCCAGTAACACGATATCCCTCGATGTTTCCTACTGAATCATGGCCGACAATCGTTGCTCAACTGCGCTGCGGTGTCTCCCTTCAAGTTGGACCGTGTCCAGTCGATATCACCTCTTCCGCGCGATTACTATCAGGGCTTACACCCCGCCTGAAGACGCAGCCCTGAACAGCGCTTTCGGAACCTTCGAGTCTCTTCTAGGAAGCCGGTGCAGGTTGTATGTGCGCAAGTGCACTCTTAAAGCTGCCCACGGATGGGACTCGGACGTAGAACATTCAATAGAATTTCCAACCTGAGGACGCCTCTTGGGAATGCTTCTACGTCTGGAGACGCTGTATACAGTGGGCATTGGTTGGCCATCGCCTTCGCCTCACTGCTCTACCATCCCGACATCCGCATCAGTCATTACGCTGGTCATCTACGCATTCCAGCTGAAAAACCGGCAGTTGATTAGGAGTGTGCAGCATGGGGTGGAGATTCTGCGTCTCCTTCCTGTCCTCAAGGAGCTGCGTACACTCGGATGATTGGCAAGCCTGATCAACTGGTTGCAATAGGCATGTTGTAGAACCTCCATCATTCCAGATGGAGGCCTTAGACTTGCGTAACGTTGGATATGTGTGCCATCTGACAGATCATGTAGCCAACAGACTGGACCTTAGCTATTTGACCTTGCCACCTATCTGGCTGTTGTATACCAAAGACGTGTCCTCCATAGGAAGGTTGTTCCGCGCAGCTGCAAAGACCCTAAAGCATCTAGAGCTGAAGCTAACCAACCCGATTATCCCTGGCTCCGACTACAAATGTGAGCTATTGTTATTGCTAAAATGAAGACAACATTGCTAATTAAAGTCGTCGTGGTTTTACTCAGTCAGATGAGGTTGGCCAGGAGCTGTGAGTCAGCGGATGCTCAGCACTTGAAACTTTGAAATTATTTTCCCGACCGCAACACAAATTGTGCAGCAAACTATCTGCTGTACTTGAATGCAGCCACTGCTATTCTAGCGACCTTGCCACTTTCGGTTCATAACATTAGTACATTGGCCTTCGACACCAATGTCTTCGAAATGACCTGCTGGCCCTCACATTCTACCTAACATCTTGTGGAGATCAAACTCGCGCGCACTGACGCTTGCCAGAGCTGAAGAGCATTATAATATTGCGTTTTTGAGCGCGGAAAACCAGTCACACACCCTGCACAAGTTGTTGCCAGCGGCTCTGGAACCCATCACCACGTCTCTGTCTGTGTTGCACCCACGAGTGACGCTGCGCTTTGCGTGCCCTAAGTATCGCGTTTGTGCACTTTCTTTCTACCGTACCGCAGTTCTCTCACGCGCCTCGACTGATAGAAGCTGGGAGGCAAAGCACGCTGTGTATCTCGTTGCGGCTGAACATGTGGTTGGTGTGCGAGGCAAGCTACTCATGCTTACCGCCCGTGAGTTCATGGTAGATGTTTCCTCTTCCGATGGTATAGGTTGCTCTCAGTGTGCTATCGCAGAAATTCGCTGCTTACCCTCGCACCCTTCCTTTACCGGTGCAGCTGGTGTTTCGTCATTACCACTATTCTGCCATTTGCACTCGCTGAATCTATATTTCACTCCTTTATGCTGTTTCTGTTATATACCCTACAGATTTGGATGCTATAGTTGAACTTCGCATTTGCATCGGAACCACGTGTTTTCGGCGAGTTTTCCTTCCAGACTTCATAGAGTTGCGTCGCGCATGAGTGCGTGAATGTGCAGATGGTACATGCCAATGTTGTCCATGTTTCTGTCATGTAGCACAACCTCAGACAGATAAGGACTCCGTGACTGGTGCCTCAACGTACACAGTTTCCTAAAATAGACTCACACCCCAAGTTCCGAGACCGCGCTGTCTGCCCGTGAATTGTCTTTTTTTTTTTTTTTTTTAAGTCACTAACATTTATAATCCGTGAATTGTCACCGGAGGTTTGGCAACGTTGAGTCACTAAGTATACGACTAGTCACTACTTCGTGGCTGCGAACTTTTATCATTTGCAGTGGACATCCGGAATTGAGCTGAGCTCCTTAGTGAGTTCAAGTTGCGTTACACCCACTGACGGAGCTAACGCCTTGGTCTCTAGTTACCACCACCGGAATCGTAGCTTCTCAGTCTTTGGCTGTGTCCGTAACTGAGCTTGACCCACAAACAGCAGCACAGTACGGTCACCATCTTCTTTGCTTGCAAATTGCTAATCTGGTTCCAAGATGTTTCCTACTGAGATCGTTGATATCATCGTTGGCCATCTACACGATGACCGACAATCGTTGCTTAGCTGTGCCGCGGTCTCTCCCACTTGGTCCGTGTCTAGTCGATACCACCTTTTTCACGCGATTACCATTTGGGTTCCTGTGGACATCAACGCCCGCGAAGAAGCAGGCCTGAACGGTGCTGTCAGAACTTTCGAGTCTCCTCTGGGAAGCCAGTGCAGGTCTTTTGTGCGCAAGTGCTATCTCGCATCTGACTCTGGAAGTCACTACGGGGCGACGGAATGCGCGATAGAGCTACCAACGCTAGGACGCCTGCTGAAAATGCTTTTTCGTCTTGAAACGCTATGTACAATGGGCATTTCTTGGCCAGCACCGTCCCTTGATTGCACTGCCATCCCGACCTCTGCATCAGTCACCACGCTACTGGTCTGCCGAACCGAACCGCCATTGTCGTATGACCCTGAGCCGTTATTCAGGGATATTAAGGATGGACTGGAGGTCCTGCGTCTCCTTCCCGCTCTCAAAACACTGGGTACGGTGAGAAGCCATTGGGTGGTGGGTCCTACACCTGGACCTGGTGGACCTACAGTCGAACCTCCGCCATTCCCCAGTGAATTGAAGTTGGAGAACTTAGATTTGCGTACGACTGGACCTGCGCGCATTCTGATTGATTACGCGATCAACAAACTGGATTTCAGTTCTTTGACTTCGCTGTCTATCTGGTCGTTCTATACCGAAGACATGCCCTCCATAGGCAGATTGTTATGTGCGGCTGCAAACAGCCTGAAGTATCTGCAACTGAGGCTAACCAACGTGGTGTTTTACGACTTCGATGACGAACGTGAGCTGCTTTTGTTGCGGAAGCGAAAGAAACATCGCTAACGGATATAATGATTTAGCTGAACCTGGAGAGATCTGCCAAGAGCTGTGCATCAGCGGATGTTCAAAACTCGAAACTCTGCAGCTATATGTCCCAACAGACCAAACCATAAGTCCTGCAATAGACTACGTTCCGTACTTGGACATAGCCAGCGCTATTCTAGCAACCTTGCCGCTTTCGGTTCGTAATATAACACTGGCCCTCGACACAAATGTTCAAGAAGATGATCTGCTGGACGCATTTGACCAAACAGCGTGGGAAGATCAAATTCGCGTGTACCAACGCTTGCCAGATTTGAAGAGCGTTGCGTTTTTGAGCGGGGAAAGCACAACCAGCCAACTGTACAAAATGCCCTCAGAGGCTATGGAATACGTCGCTACGACTCTTTCGGTGTTGCAGCCGCAAGTCACGTTGCGTTTTGACGTGCTCTGAACAACGCGTTAGTGTATTCTTTTCTGTGCAGTAACGCAGTGCTCTCATGCGTCCCACAGATAGAAACCTGGCAGGGGAAGCATACTGTGTGTCTCGTTGCGGCTGAGAATGCATCTGGGGCGTGAAGGAAGATTTTCATGTCCAACAGCCCCGTGACTCCATGATAGTGCCGATCGCATATGCATTTCTCTGGCTCTGCAGAAGAGCTACTGCTTACCATGCACCTTCCTCTCATGTTTCATCATTACCGCTATCCGACTCATTCATCCTCGTTGGTTCTGTTCCTTCTATCTTTCATCTCTTGCAGGCATGCTGTGCATGCTCTATCCTCTACGGATGTGGACGCTGTCATCTGATCACGCTGTCCTACGAATTCCGATACGAAACGCGTGTTCTCGGTGTGCTTTCCTTCTGGATTTCATAGAGGTGCATCGCGCCGGCGTGCGTGAGTACGCAGCTTGTGAATGCCGAGTTAATCCTTGCTTTTGACATGAACCGCAGCCTTTGTCTATCGCTCTGTAGAGGAACTAGAAGCTGCCAGGCAGAGAACCACTGTCATTTGTGCCTCAACATACACAGTTTCCTAAAATAGATTGGCACTGCAAGTCTGAGTCTGAGACAGCAATTGCCGCCCGAGCTGCAAAATGTCTCCGGTGGCCATACTGTACGTGCAACGACTACTTGCCAACGCTCTTTGACTGCCTACAATTATTAGAGGCCTGTGTCGACTGTCGTCAACTTGCTCTCCTTGTCGATGTCAAAGCCATGGTCTCTTTGGCGGCGTTGCCGAAGGCCTATTGTCTCCGGGTAAATCACCTATTGTGCACAAGGCACCCACGAGGCCCTGCCCAACATTCTCGCGGACGCATTTTAGCCTCCATTGCCCTCGAACCAAATGCTGTGTGGCCCTTGTCTTGCAGCCAGAGGTACAAAAGACAACCTACACCGTGCTCAAACTTGCTCACTCTTCCCTCTCCACCAGTCTCTCCTTCACGCACGGCTCGCCTTAGACTTCCCACAGCATGTTGTACATGTTGACCTTGATCGTTATCCTGAACGTTGCTTCAGTATGGGCTGCGCCCATGTGTTCTCTCAGGCCGCCGTCTACAAGCGCTGCTTTGGCTGCATCTGCCTCTCCTACTCCCACTG